TATAAAATAATAATATTTAAATAATACTTTAAATATTTTTACAATATATACATATGATACAGATATATAAAAATTATTTTATATCTTTAATCTATTTATTACATTGATTCTGGACTTTAATAATTATTTTTTAGATTATTGGTAAAAGCAATACCTGAAATAATAATACTATTAATATAGTGTAATGTATTCAACGCAACGCGAAAAAATCATGATGTTTTATGCATTCCGAGCCGAGATTCAATAAGAGCACGCGCTGTTACCTCGGCGCACAGTGCGGAAATTATTTCGAAGGTATGCCATTCAAGGAATTGCCACTAATTAGAACGAATATATACGAGATACAAAAGATCATGGACCATTGTTCTGGAAAAGAAAGGGGAAGTACCAAGGCTGTGTGGCGCAACGGACAAGAGACTACTCCCCGTAATACCCCATTTCGAGACGTTAAAGCCCCTGGCGTAAATGAGTCAACCTACGCGAGCGGCCGGGGGTTATATTTCATAAGCGAGCGGTTACACCGAAAACCGCGCGACACTTCAAAGGTGGCCGGGAGAAACTTGAGGTTCGCACGGAATAACCGAGGTCAAAAGTATCCCATTCCCGCGTTACATCGTGCCACGCCGCGCCGCGCCGCGCCAGCATGTCCGTCCGCATAAATTTGAGGGACAAATCGTACCTTGTCGCAGAGATTTCGCATGGCTACGCCCTTAGGTGCGATGCAGGCCCCTGGAACTGCAGCTGGATATCTCGTGCCGCATTTAAGCAGCGCGATGCAGCACCGTGTGCCCGGGTGTTGCGCAGGATGCCGCAAGTAAACCGGCCATCACGTGACGCACACACGCGGCAAAATGCCCCGTGTGGTGTGCGGCGTGATTGTGATGATAAGTACACGCATGCTCTTGCTATTATGGCGCACCATAAAACCGCATCGTCCGCTAATCAAACAATCCTCCTCCATATCACATACAGCTACGTCGCCGTCGTTATTGCCGTCATCGTCAACGAATCCGTGTCCGTCCTGCGATCTATCCATTCTGTGATTATTTTTCTTTCTATTTTTTTTCTTTTTTTCAATGTAATGTACTCTGAATACCAAAATATTTTTTCTAATTAAATTATATGTGAAGTATTTATTTGATGTTTATTTAATATTTTATCTCTTCTATTTATATTTTCCCTTGTAATATAAAGTTATGCGGCTCATTTTTGCGATTTTTATTTTATGGAATACCTCATAATTTTTATTCTTGATTAAAAGAAATATAAAGAAAACTATAAGAATAGGCTTCTCTCGAAATGAATGAAATATTTCTATTTAGAATAATTTTTTTATAAAAATTTCATTTGTCTTGTATACCAAGGATATTTTTATCTATTTTCGCATTGCTTCGCTCCCCATGGAGATGGTCGTATTTTCTCGATACCAATCGGATTTCACGTTCGCGATATCAATCGAATATATTGGTTTTCAGATACATGCGCGCATCGATTCAACAAGTACTATATGTGCAATTAAATGTGCATTACTGCGAGATTTCATATCTCGCTCGCGTTCGCAACTCTGTTGTGTACAACTCTGTAATGGCCTGCTGCGCAGCGGGTTTCCTGCTGTATTTCTGGTAATCTGCGCCTTGAATAGCAAGGAAAGAAAGAATTCCATTTTCAGATGACGAATAATGAAATTAGAAAATGCAGGCTGTTGTGCAAAAAATGCTTTGAATCAACGGTCTAATAGTATTTTCTCCCCCACTCTTTTTCTCTTTATTGGATGAATGTGAAAATAATTTCTCTTCCGAAATTAAAAAGTACGATCTAATTTAGAGATTAATATTAAAAGTTAAAAGGTCTTGGTGTTAAATTAAACTTCGGGAAAATAAAAATGAATAAAAATATATTTCTTAGTCAATTTTAAGTAAATCTTGTTTAAATAAAGCTGTAATCTCGTTGAGAATTTTTCCTTTGTTCATAATTCCTTTATAATCTAATATATAAAATTTTACATGTTTCATTATAAAAAGGACATTAACGAAATAGTTAAAGTTTAGATTTCAAGTAAATTTCATTAAATTTTTCAAAATGAGAAGAATTAAAATGCTGTTTCCGCTCAATACTTGTGCAATAATGTAAATCTTTCCGTGATCTTATCGAAAGTATTCTGGATATACTTACCTTAATTTGATCTCGAATTTCTCGCTTAATTATTTAACTTAGATTACACATGATACTAGTTACATCTATCTTAATCTTAATCTTTATGGGTATGCAGAAATTCTGCAGAATGCAGTTAAGCATGCGAAGCAAACATCGTTAGCATTTTCTCCGCATTCTTGATACACGAGATAATTTTGTGTGTATTTATATTTTTTAAATCTATTTATATAAATCCCTTATTATTTTCTCCTTTTATTTATAAAGTTAAAGAAATTTTCTATTACAAAATATATCTTTAAAAATTATTATAATTGCAAAAAATATGTCCATTAAAGTGTAAGTTTGTAAAAACCTATACATAGAATCCGAATCAATAAGATTGATTATTTTAATGATATACTTATTCAAGAGAAAGTTAAAAGTTAAAGAGTTTTAACAATAAAACTTTAAAAAAGCAAATATATAATGATAACATTTGTATGTCCGTTTAATTTTATAAGTACATTTATTTTAGTAAAACTTTATAATTTATGAGATTTAACTTTACAAAGAATATTTGGTACTGAAAATAAAAAGTTTCTGATATGATAATAAAATCTTGCGTCAACTTCAAATGATAATAAAATCTTGCGTCAACTTCAAATTTGCCAAAGATTCTTAAATAAAAAGGTGACTTGAAAAAGTGCATCCGTAAAACTTTTGATGGGAGTAGGCAATTAAAAGATCGAAAAGAAAGTTTTGCTAGATTTAGCAAACTTACGAACCGTTCGTTTGTCGAATCATGCAGTTCAGTTCAAGAACAAATTGCAACATTGTTCGCTTTACACTTTTGCAGTCTTGCACAAGATCAAGTCGAATTTTCTTTCGAAATCTCGCGCAGGGATATATTAGATGTTACATTGGAAGGATCCGCGTCACATCAAAGCTTTGATTATGCCGCGCGACGTAATATTAGAATGGATCTTTTCTTCGATAAGACTAGCACGTTTAATCTCATAATAGAAAATTTCACGATCCGTTAGGTATACTCAAGCGTTCTTTCTTATTTTTTTAATTTTCTCATCGCGCGGGACACGGAAGTGTGCCGGTGGGAAAAGAGATATAGCCTTCCTTTGGATGCTTACAAAGAAAATCCGGGGCGCTTAAATATGACGTAGCGACCGCCTTCTCATAATCTGTATTCAACCGCTGTAATCACTTTCGCTCGCTTCCCTCCGAGATTGAATTTCACGGGTAGCTGTTTAAAAAGCGGAATTTATATTCGGCTGGACGCACTCTTAGCGCGTCAAGGGATAAGTATCAATGCTATGCAGCCATTAATCATTGGTCGAGATTCTTTTTTCCGCGTGCCACCGTATATCATACTGGATACGCGAATTGCATAATTCGTCAGTTCAGAAAA